TTGCTAGAGGTTGTAGCTAATAAACATAACTGGACTGAATTGGCATTGTCTCTTGGAGTTCTTTGGGCTAGGCCTGACAGAGGACCAGCTCCAGCAGAAAACCACTATCCAAATACAAGTTTTTCCCAGCAAAAATATTTAAACCATACAGCAAATTTCATTAAGTGTCCAATCTGAATGATATGGACAAGTCATCTCCATCCTGATACACTGCGATAGAAACTCCCAAAGTTCTCCAATCAGCATAGATGGCGGGGAACTCTCAAAGGCACAGTACTAACACATCCAGAATGCATCAAGTTGGGTAGGGTTCCCATGAACCACTGATTAATATCCGGTTTACTTGGAAGACTTTGCCTTGTGAAATTTACACTGATAAGGGCATTGTAAAAACCTGAAGACCAGGTTAGGGACATATTATCATGGAGAAAATCTATCTATGTGGTTGCTAAGAGTCAGCACTGACTTGATGGCACATAATCAATCTATCAGTCAAAATGTGAGACTGGAATGAATAGAGACATAACCTAGTAGTTCTGAGGGGGGACAATCATCCTCTAAACATAATTTTTGGGTTTTATGATTATGTATTTTTATTGTATGTATTGCTGCATTCTGCCTAGAGTCATCTGGAATTGGGTTAAAGTAACATAACGTAACATAACATAACATAAATGCAGGATATATCTGTTTTAAAGATGGATGTTGCCATTGCAGATAATTTAGTTTTGCTCAGCAAGGTCAGTAAGGATGCAGAACCCATCTTCAAGGTATTCCAACTATTGATAAAACCATATTTTATAGAATCCAAATCCTCAGATGTTTTTACAAGAATTCAGTTTAGTATTCATCATAATTATAGATGTCTGAATTTGTTAATAAAAGCAAAAAAGAGCAAAAATATATTATTTTGACAGACTGCTATACAATTAGGCAGCTGTATGACTGCCAAGTTAGTCAGAAATGGGCATACACCATTTTAGCAACTTCTTATAAAAGACTGGGTAAAAAGTATTATTTTGGGGATGTGAAGTGTTTCCTTGTAGCAAAGAAGTATATCACATTGCTTTGAAAAGACCAAAGAGCTTAATGAAATAATGATCGCAGCATACATTCAAGAGCAAACATGAATATCTACAGGTGGTCCTTGTGTAACAACCACTCGTTCAGCAACTGTTTGAACTTGCAACGGCGCTGAACAAGGGGGACTTACAACCGGTCCTCGAAGTTCCGGTCATCACAGCGCCCCAGCAGTCACATGATCGCAATATGGACACTCGGCAACCATCCCATGGTCACGTGATTGCCATTTGCAACCTTCCCTGCTGGCTTGCCACAAGCAAAGTCAATGGGGAAGCTGGCAGGAAGTTGGAAGTTGCGGTTACATGACGTTAACAACTCATGGTGATTCACTTAACGCTAGTAACTGGGGACTGCTGGAATTGGCGTCACTAAGCAGCATGTTCATGTGACATTGTGCTTTATGAGCCATCCAAATGTAATTGATATTAAATACATGATGTATTCTTCAGAATTTTGTGTGCATTTTCCTTCCGTACTTTCAGAAATAACATAAATGACCAACCTACTTTTATGTTAGTATACTGCCAAAGCCCACATTTCAGAGTTACCTATTTTAGATGGAAATAGCGTCTCATCATCCAGCTGATCCTGAACCCAGGTCATAAGATAATCAATGTACTTTGGTGCTGAGCACTTGATTGGCTTCTTTATATTTGTCCCATCTGCCCAATGGTACTCATATCTGGAATGGAAGAAAAATGAAATAGGTTCCTTTTAAATAACCATAGATTTCCGTTTACATCATTGTGTTTTTAAAGGGAGGACTGGAATATGAACATTTAATTTTGGGTGGCCCCCAAACATGACCAGGAGGACTTTTCTTCCTTTTAAAATAAGAATAAGTTGTTCTCTTGCAGTATCTCAGATGGAAGGCTGGGTGCCGTTCCTGGCATGCAGTGTTCCATTCCACCCCCACACACCCCAGCAAACGTCAGGAGAGATGGAGCGAAGACCACACAAAATACAGAACTTTCCCTCCATCTTTTATAACCAAAAACATTTCGGACTTCTTAGCCTTTTAAAAGGTAACAATGAAGACCACAAACTGTTTCCTAAACTAAAACATGTTTAATATTATTATACAATAAAATGTAAAATGCTATATTCTGCCTCTCCTAGTTTCACTGCCAGAAGTTAAGCATGGACGACATTCTTACTTTGGCCCTGCAGACATCACTGAACAGCTCTCTTCTGTGCAGAAGTCTGTAATTGTTCCATAAAGCATGTTGATCTGGTTAAAAAAGTCCACAGCTGTCAAAAGAAAAAAAATTCTATTTAGCAAGCCAGGGGAAAAAACTAGACTATATTCTGTGTATCTTTCAGCAGAATAAATCACCACAGATTACAAAGGAAATGCTCTTCAGAAATAGACACAATGTTTTTAGAAAGCTCAAATACCAGGATATAAGCGCTCACATGATTGCAAATACAAAAATTAATTTGTTTAAAATAAAGGAAGTGTCCATAACAGATTTCTCCAAAATTCCATTTCTGTTGGAGCACTTCCAGTGAGGCTGGCGAACTGATGCCCCTCACTTCATGGGAGACGTTGCAGCCAAAAGGCAGGTGAAAGAAGCTCAGGGTCTGCAACAGACTCAGATCTTTAGGACGTCTTCTTAGGACTCATTAATCAAAAAAAAGATCAGTCTGGTAAAACATCAGCAGGCATCAAGAAAAACAACATGAATCTTAGTACTTGATCAAGCTTATCTGGGTCAATCATGGTTACACCCCCAACAGTGGTATTCTCCAAATGCTAACAGCATGTTCATAGGAAATCCCCATGGTTCAACTCATTATAGACCTGCTAAGAAGAATTAATGGTTGCATGCAGTATACTATGGAATATATACTAGGGGTCTGGATAGCATTTGAAAGGGTTGGCAATTCATGCAAACAAAGCACCTCTCTTTGAATTGCTAAGGCAGTGGTGTCTTGTGCAAGGTTTGTGCAGCTGATCCTAGCTTTCACAAAATCTTGGTGAACCTTAAGCAAATAATCTTGTGACCACTTGCCTGACCTACACAAATTTTCCACAGTGAGGTTTGTCAAAGAGTATTTCCGTCTTTCATATAACTTAGGAGAAAAGAGAAACAAGCAACAAGATGCTTCAGATATCAGATTCTCATCTAACTATAGTAAATGTGTACAGTACCGCAATGTGTGTGGTTAACCATAAAAAATTAATTTATTAAATATGCATAACTGCAGAGATACTGTAGAAAAAAGTATACCTTCTTTTCTGATAATGCTCTTATTATGATAGATAGCAACAAAGAAAAGGAGATTGTTATAACAGTTCATTTACAAGAGTTCCTGCACAAGTTGCTTTTGATCAGTACTGAAACTAAAAGCATTTAAAATATGTTAGCTAACTGGAAGACTCTTATTTTTTTTCTTCTTTATGAAACAAAAATAATGAGGTGATATAATAAAAAATGTTAAAAGGCTGCAAATTTATATAATAAAGAAAACTCCTCAAAATTGGAACAATTTAGTTGAAAATTCTCCCCCTTGCCCTTCCAAAAACGCTTAAACCAAAGAACTCATACCAATGGTCTATTGCTCTAAACTAAGTGTAGATGTATCCTTTTGGGGTTGGATGAAAGAACTGTTGTAAAGTTCTGACTAGGGTTTTGTTTCTAAAATGTACAACTAGAAAACAGGCTGGCTGGAGTCCAGCCTTCAGGTTCAAGCACTCTGAACCAATTTCTCAATGTTTTCTAGGACAATCTCTCATACAGGATGTTGCAGTAATTCAATCTCAATACAGCCAAGGTACAGGTGGCCATAAGCAAGTCCACCTTTGGAAGGAGATATGCAAGCATGCAACCTAGGTCAAACTACTCATAGAAAAAGCCATGACATGAGATTCCAGAAGCAATCCTGGCTTCAAGAACACTGCCCTCCTTTCAAGTGTCATCATGCAGCAGAGGGGGAGCAGGGAGAAGGCCACTCCAAGGCTTCTACCGAAAGACCGGTCGCCTCTGGCTCTTCTTCCATCTTCTTAACCAGAAGACTTCATGGAAGGAAGATCAATTCCATCTATCTCTTCCTCTCCATGGACTGTTACAATTCCACCACAAATTTTTGTAAGAACATCTGTAACTCTGTAGAGTGACCCATCATTTGCTTCCATCCTCCATATCCTTTTGTGTTGTTATATTAATCCAGAAGCTGCTCAGAAAGTCTTTTCAGTGGAAAAGGGGGTTAAAAACAATCCAAAGCAGACCTTACAGCTCTATTCAAAGGGCATTTTTGCTGACATATAATTCACCCAAGAAGTTAATAAACCAAAGATAAATTAATGAAGTCTGTTGGAATGAATGTTTTACCTGAACACTAAAGACCCACATTTCTGACTGAATTCTCATTGGCATAGGTTGAGCAATCCTTTCTAAAAGTGCCAGAAATCCTTCACGCTTCCCATTATCTCTCTATCATTTAAACAGAAAGCTATTGACATTAAACAGAGTGGCCGCCTTCATTCTGCTCTTATGAATTTTCCATTTGCTTTTCAGCAGAATGTGGTGCTTACAAAACCATTCAAAATGCAGCCTTGCATCAATTAATGGGTTAACTGAGTATCTGTACTAAAAAGAAACAATTCCCATTTTGACAGTACAGAAGGTGGGGAAAAATAATGTCATTGGGAAGAGGGCAGACTCTGATGAAAATTTTCCATCCTGCAATAATAGTCTATTCTTTTCAATTTTACAGTATCTGCAAGTTGGCTGTTTCAAGATATTTGCAGACTTCTATCTGAAAACCAACCTTGAAAACATAAACCTCTATGTTTTGTTTGAGTTTGGCTGCAAACACAACATCAGCACTGAGAGTTCTGTAGCCTTACACAATCTGTGGTTGTCTGGGAAAATAAGTTCTGACAATTTCAATGCTATTGCTACTAATCTACTAGTCAGATTATTTATTCAGCAAAACTCACACCTATCTTCAACAAAGGAACAACGTTCCTGCAATCCAAATTATTTATTTTCACCAGACTGCACTCAGATCAAAAGGAAAAGAGGAAGTGAATATTCCAAATGGTATTCTCCAAAGAGATCTGCATTTGCACTGCCAGTACCCAAGTCTAAATGGCACCGTCATCTCCACCACATATATTTCTATTAAAAAGGCATGCATTTCTCTAAGAAAATGTTAGGGGTCTCTCTGACCATCCTTTTCCAGTTTTTCTCTGCAATCACATTTACATGTACTAATAGTCAGCATAATAACACATCTTAAAACTGTTCTTCACTGTTGATATGAACATTAAGAGAGACAGGGCTCCTCACCCATTTCTATTCACCAGAGAAGATGAAGACTTCCTCTCCAGAAACCAGGGAAAACAAATTCTGGATACATTCACATAATCCCACGCACATCCTTCTGGGAGAAGGACAGGGTGCAATCAAACAGCAGTTTTCAAACTTACATTCCACAGAATAGGACTGTATTAGTCAAAAGACATGATGTCCTTTATAACCTTTATCTGAGTAACCAATTTTGTCCTTATTCATAGAAATGCCTTTTTGATATTATCATAGAGGCTCAGGTAAGTGATTTAAAACTTATGGAATGTATGCTATCCCAAATGCTCATTTGTAATCATAGCCTCTGCTATCCTACTCTGGTTTTACAGCTGTAGCTATGTATCTGAAAAGAGAGCCTCTGTGGTCTAATGCTTAAGGTGCTGAACAAGGAATGGAGAACCTTGAGTTCTAGGCATGGAAGCAGGTCCATGACTTTGGGCCAGTCACTCTCTCTCAGTCCTAGGAAGGAGGCAGTGGCAAACTTCTGAAAACGCTGCCAAGAAGACTGCAGAGACTTGTCCATGTAGTTGCCAGAAGGAAAGCCTGACTTGAAGGCACAATCTTAAAAAAATCTGAACAGCAAGGAATTAATAAATGACTTTGCATTTATCATGTGTTTGCTATCCTTAATGGCATTATTGATACATCAGATTTGCCTTTCACTAGGAAATTGGATTCCCTCCATATTAAACATCACATTCTTGTAATCCCCTTCAAGTGAGAGTTGATGAACCTGGTTCAAGAAGGCAAAAGAAGGGAGTCAGTATCAGAACTCAGGGAAGGCGTTTAGATGTGAAAACAGAGATGCAGCTGAGCTAGACCAGAAAGCCAAGGAACGGTGTGCAGGGAGAGGAATGGGAAAAAGCCAGTAAATAATAGACCATATCCTATAGCACACAGAAGAACTTCACAGGTTAAGAAAGTGATTTAAGAACAGAAAGAGTCAGGGGCCAAACATGATGGGGAGGAGTGGGTGGGGAAAAACTCTTTGCCTAAGCCAGAAGATTCACAAAGCTCAGAGAAGCTTTAGAGATGAATTCTCTCTCTGCTCTAGAAATGATTCTACTCTACTCATCCACAAATCTTCTTGCTCCAGCATAAGGACAGCACACCTACTATTTCTGGAGGACAGGAACGCGTGTCATCCTAGGCTGCTGAGAAGGCTCTCTCCCCCTTCCTTTCTTGCTCGGTATCAAAACTGGTGTCTTCCAACCTCTGCCAGCAAAGTGGGGCTATGCAGCCTGCCTGCTGCGTTCACCTCAGTGTAGGCAAATGCCTCCACTCCAACTGACCAGTGTGTGTTATCGTGGGCACACATATATCCCTTGAGTCACTGATCCCTGCCCTCCGTGGCTATTCCTGCTCAGCTGCCTCTCTCCTCTGAAGGAGCCTTCCCACATAAAGCCTAACTGCATGGCTGGCCAGAGAGAACTGGTGAACTGTGTGGAATAATGAGATAGTAAACCTTCCCTTTTTTAACTTATTTTTTTTAAAATGAGCACATGAGATGACCAATATATGGTGGGATAGTAATGCTGCCTTTCCTTTTCCCTTTCATTAATCCATTGGTGGACCAATGAAATGGTGGAATAGTAAAAGTTCCTCCATCTCCACCCAGCTGAAATGCTGGGAGGAACCTGACCTGAGCTGTTCCAGCTTCCCATCCTTGCTCAACTGAAAGCAAGAATGGTAAAACTGCCTACAGTCTCCAATATTTACAGCTGCAACATTTGTTAACAACATTGTTTGGACCAGCAGCATTCTCAGCTTCCAAGACACCTGAGATACCAGAACTTGTTAAATCCTTTAGAACTAAAAAACCTACTATTACTTTTTATAGATATTTGGTATCAATAAATCAATTTGAGATGCAGATGTTAAGGGATGAGTGGAATAAAGAACTAGAAGTTTCTATATTGCCTAGACAATGGGAGAGTCTTATCTTCTATAACAAGAGTGTCAATGGATCTTAAACTATGACTTATGCAACAAAAAATAATATTTAGAATTTACTGGGCTCCATTACATTTGTATAGAAAAGGACGGTCAAAAACAGCATTTTGTTGGACGTGTAATGAGGACAATGCCTCTTTAAAACATATGTTTTTACAATGTCCTATACTTACTAAGTTTTGGGAGAAAGTAGTAGACTATATAAACATGATTGTGCAACAAAAGCTAAAATTTTCAGAGGATAACATTCTTTTGAACTATATACCTAGTACATGGAATTTGACACCTGGACAACGTAAATGGATTCTCCATGACCTTACTACAGCCAAAAGACTGATATTGCGGCACTGGAAAGAAAAATGTATGGCCCCATTTATTCAATGGATTGAAAACCTGATTGTACTTGCTAATTACAAGTGGATTGCCTTTAGACGTAGACTTTGTATGGACAAGTATAATGAAATATGGGACTCATCTATACAAAATACAACAGGTTAAAAATATGGCATATATAAATGTATTGGAAACATATATTCATTTGAATAATATTTGCATTAGATAAATATATATAAATGTGTAACTATTTACTGTATAATGGTATACTACAGGGTTTTTTTTTGCTGTTCTCGTATTTTTGTCACTTTTTGTAATACCTTTTAATGTTTTCTTTCTTCTTATGTATTATTATTATTTTTGTGTTTTTTCTTTTTTGTTATTAATTAAAAAGCAATAAAAATTTATTTTAAAAAACCTGTCTACAGTGTTTTGTGCGACCAGTAAACCATGGTCCAAAAGAGTAAATGGAAACCATATGTCCACAAAGAAACATGACTAATCCTTGCTTTCAAAGCATGAATAGTGGGGTGGGGGGTGGAGCAGGAGAATCCACCAACTGGGAATCATATTATATTATTATATGGGTCTTTCTTTTTTTATGTTTCATTCAAATGAATAGAATTAGTATTAATTTCTTTTTTTGACTGCAGAATCACTGTATTATTAATATTAGTTCTGTTTATTATATTTTCCTTGGTATATTTCACCTAAAAAATAACTAAGTCAGGAACCATGGAAACATCAGTCCAGACAGAACATCTGGCTGGCACTGTTGTCAAATCCAAGGAACAGACTTAATCCAGACAGCAGTTCCTTAAGCCAGCTTCATTTCCAGCTGAGTTCGGAAAGGAGACATGAAGTGAAGCTTAATGTTTGCTGCACAAATGTGCCTCATCAACTGCACTGCCATAAATCCAAAGCACAACAAAATTTCTGGTGTTTAAGGCCACTTGGGTGGCCTTGGCTGATTTTTAGTTTTAGTTTCCTGTTTATAAACTGGAAGTTTTCATTTAACTGTTTTCTAATCAACTGTTTTTTATTGTATTTCTATTATTTCACTAGTGTTTGATATGTTGTTCATCATCCAGATTCATAAATGGGTGAGGTGGTTTACAAATATTGTAAAATAAATAAAAATGAATAGTTCAGTACTGTGGGGAAGGGAGAATACTTTAATTGGCAGTTTAACTAATCAGCGAGGAATCATTTTGTGATTAGAAATTTAATCTAAAGCTGAATGAACTGCTGTGCAAGCGTTTTGAGTTAATAATAGTTTGAACTCAAAACAGCCACTATAAATATTCTGAGCTCGAGCTCAAATTTTCCAAGAATTTTGTTTCAAAGTCAGAATGAAAGTCATTTCAAATCTCACTATTTATGTTTCTGCCATAGGAAATAAGCTTGAAATCAGCATACCATCCTTAAAATTGACTGTTTTAAGTGATCTATGCACAAAGCAAAATAGATATATTCCATGAGTGAAAACCTTCAAACCACTTTAAGTTTTGTTCCGAGAAAATACAACCAATTCAGTCATTCTGATGGAATGTTTTGAGTGAGGCAGTTTTGTTCTGACTTTAAAACAAAATACATTTCCTTTTCATGCACGACCTGGTGTTCAGGATGACAGAGAAGACCACTAACGTTTGGGCCAAAAGTTTCTATGAGTGGCAGGCCTACAGGTATGTTTCTGTGAAACAAAGTCTCCTTTCTATGCAAACATCCTATTACTTGGAAAATCATTTGTACCTATTGTAACCTCATTATTACTACTGCCTTGCATTACAGGACACAATAATAATGATATATCAGTATTCTTAACTGATTAAATATTTCATTTACTGTATATTGTACTGTGTCCTGGGCAACAGCCATTTAAGGTACTGCTGTTCCCAAATTGTAAATGGTGGGATGAACAGGTACAGCTGAAAGAATTAGAAATGGTTATTCCCAATTTCACAACTTGCATTGATTCAAACGCGGCCAATGGGCAAGAATGAGAGGTCCTCATCAAATCATTTGGAAGGCACCAAGTTGAGCAAGGCTACTTTTTTATTCCCCAACCACAAAATACATTTCAGATTTCTTCTACTATTCCCTTTCAGTTTCTTGACAAAATATTTTTCCACAAAAACAAGGGAACTGTTTATTTTAACAATTATCTTAATTCAGCTAAAGAAGGGTATCTCAGAATAGCAAAAAAGCTGTCACTGGAATCTAAATGAGACAAACCCATCAGACTGGTATCTATTTTTAGTATTTGCTAAAGAATACTGGCTCTCAAAGGAAGTACCTGAAATTAAAATAAACTGCTGTTGGAAAACCCAGATTTTTCATCACATTTTTCTGCTTCAGATAATTCTGCCGTTACTTGATATACTGCATTATAAATGGAGACACTGAAGCTCCAAAGAAAGACTGATTATACTTGGTGCTACCTCTGACCTATACAACTTGTGACCCACTAAGAGACCTATATATCACAGCTTCCAAGCCTTTAACAATCCCCACTTTCACAGCCTCAGAAAAGCCATAAATCCAGGAAGTAAATCAATGCCTTTGATGAGTGTGGTCCAGGTTGGTGGGGCATAAGTTCCATAGGCCATGTTATAAAACTCTGTTAAGAGCCAGACATACACAAATTTACCGAAGAGTGTTTCTGGAATCCAGAAATACAGAACTATCATTTGTGCTTGGACTGAAAAAGATAGGAAACGGACATCATTCCAGAGCAGAAGAAGAGAGACTCTTTCTGCATATTTGAGCAAATGAACTGAAACTGCACCTTTTTGTTGTGCTCTTTAACCCTGCAACAGACTGAGGAAAAGAAGAAGGGACTGATCATAACCACAAAAGGACAGCAGTAGCAGATGATTCAGCTGAAAATATACACCACGCCTTGGACCCACAAGTTGCCTTAAAGCATGTGCTCCTTGGATTTTGATTTGATTTGCCATCTCTCCCCATATTATGCCCCAAACAGGATGAAGCTATCCAACGCCATATTGACTCATTTCCAATCTCCACAATTTATTGCCACTGCTGAAGGCAGATTTACAACCTCCAAAACATAAACGTAACAATTACTTCCTAGTAAAAAATATGTCTAAGTTGCAAATTCCAGGAGGAATGGATTATGTTAAAAAAAAGAAAGTGCTTTCCTAAATCATCAGTGCTGAAACATATACAGAAAAAACTTACTGTTCACTGCAACCCATTCGTTTAGATCTTCACCCTCGGGCAGCATAACAGCCATCCGTAAGTTGCCACTTCCAAGAGTTGCCTCTGCATGTTTCAGCAGCTCATATTGGTGAGAGCCTTCCGGAATATTCTTCTTTGGTTTAAAAGTTTTAGAAGAGCGGCTACCACTGCAAAGGGAGAAGAATATTTTGGCTTCAGAGAAACCTGAGCACTAAAAGCACTAGAGAAATAATTTCACAACAAGGAACTTCATTCCCATTCTCATATATTCTTGGTTAAAATACACTTCTTCCCCCCTTCACAAGCAATATAAAGAGTTACATGTGGACAAATAGGATTAATGTATCTCAGAGGTCAGTATTATGACATCTAACCTAGATGGCACCCACAAAACCCCCCAATTAAATAAAAAATATTGACTGAAACAATTCTCTCATGAGATTGCCAAATCTCTCAAGGTTTCAATGTTCTTGAATGAGATGGCAAAATCTTGTTGCCTGAAATTACGTACTTTATGTTATTAGATTTGTAAAGCTGCCCAATTTGGAAACAACTCTGGGCAGCACACAATATTAAAAACAGATAAAAATAACAATTAATGGGAAATAATGGCCACACAGAAGACCAAAATAACCCCAAATAGACAACAGCCCTCTAAGGACCCCAGAATCAAAATTAGCCCAGAACCCAAGAAAACAAATAGTATTGTCCAATACAACAACAGAGTTATATTAGGAGTTGATACCTGCCACCTGAAAATGTTGCAAAGTTGTAACTTATCCTTATTATATTAAATTTATGTTTCATAAAGGTAAACCTTTACACAGAAAGGGATTTGCTCTGTATTATATATTCCTCCTACCCTGAGTTTGACTTAAATTTTCCCAAGGTGGAACAATATATATTGCTCTCTTTAGTTCTGTATCCCCATTTTTGCTATTGGGCAAATATTAACATTAAAAATAATGGAGAAGTTTCTCCAAATGGAAAGATTAGGACAAACTCCCTTCACACATCACCACAGCTACAAGGCATGGCCTTTGTGCTGATGAGGCTATTGTTAGAGGGGTCCTAAATACAGAATAAAGGCACACTTGATTTTGAACAGGTTGAAAAATAGAAGTCAGCTTGAAACCTTCCCATTGATCACGCCCAAAGTTATGTGTAGGCAAGAAATATCAAGGCAAGTAAAGTGACGATCTTATTTTTGTTATGAATAAAATATGTGAAGTTATTTATTGTGCTTACATGGCATTCCTTCAAGTCACTGACTGATTGACTGATTGACTGACTGATTGATTGACTGATTGATAGAATCCCACCTTTATTATTTTTATAAATAACTCAGGCGGCGAACATACCTAATACTCCTTCCTCCTCCTATTTTTCCCATAACAACAACCCTGTGAGGTGAGTTGGGCTGAGACAGAATAACTGGCCCAAAGTCACCCAGCCAGTTTTTCATGCCTAAAGCGGGACTAAACCTCACAGTCTCCTGCGTTCTAGCCCGGTGCCTTAACCACTAGACCAAACTGGCCATGTTTTGTCCCAACTAGACATCCTGTTTACGATTAATACTTAGCATCTTGGCAAGGGAATGGGGGAGTTTTAGGCTTGGCCCCCTGCTGCTGTCTGAATCCAGTCCCTCCCATACACCTGCAATCTGCAAGGAAAAAAGCTCTCCTCTAAATATTGGGGAGGGAATTACCTGAGCTGAGAACACATTAGAGGACAAAAGAATAGAGACTCCTTCTCCCCCATCCCCTCTACCCTATACACAATTCTTAACTGCTTTAACAATTCTCTGTCCAAGCAGTTGCCCATCCAGGCACTGAGGAGACAATATTAACTTGGTTTTAGTGATGTGACACCATTATATGCCTTCTAACTGGACCAGACCTCAAACCATACCAGTGTCTCTTGAACTGTCTGAATCTAAGCCTCCCACTCCCTTTTAAACTTCCTCTATTTTGCAGTCTCCACCAAGCTCAGCAGCAGCCATCTGCTCCATCAACAAATATGCAAAAATCCTTGCACATGATCCTGCTGCACAAAATTAATCCCACAGTGTCACAGAGCAATAGGTCATGCGCTCTTGTCCCCAAAGCAACAACCAACCCAGAAAAACAGCATCTAAATTAAGCAGCAATTCCCTCTGAAGCTCCTGTTCTTTGGCATCCAATAGTGAAAGACCTCAGTCATATTCAGTCAACCTAAATCAATGATTATCAGGGAAGAGGGAAGATACCACCAGCTCCAGAAGCTTCCTGACCTCTCCAAATAGCCCACCTCCCTGGGTGTATGTGCCATTCTCCATTACGTGAGAAGGAAAGACCTATGCTACAAAAGCAGCTTTGCTTCCTGATGAAAATCAAGAGAGCACTATTATAGGAGGAAAGCCTCTCATCACCCTAAAAATGGGGAGCTTCTCAAATTTAGTTTCCTAAAGCTTGGATGCCACTCCTGCCGGTATACATCAGAACTGGATTTTCACATCCAGAAAGATAAGAATCAACTCTTTAATTTTTGTGCAAAAAAAGGTAGACATACAAGCACAGATACTTTGACAATGGATAGTACACTGACCAGAGATAAAAATACCTTCCAAATTAGGAGGCAACTACCTTAAGCTGCTTCTCCATTTTGCATCAAAAACACACTTTGATGAATTCATATTTTGTAATACAATTTGGGGTTTGATTCAAATCCAGCCCTGGGGGTGAAAAACAAGAGGGCAGCAGCTGGTTCTGAGTTCCTACTGTGGCCTATGGCCAGCATAAACCCACCTTAACAAAGGGGCAGGGAGGCTGACATGTAAAGATCCCATCTCATTGTCCACCCTCAAATACAAATGAGTAAAAAAAACTGACCATTTAGCAAAACATAATTCTAACCATTAGAATTAAAGGTTATGGTTATTTATTAAAAATAAAGGTTATGGTTTTGCAGACCATATTATTACATGTCATTACAATGCAAGTGAACTTAGATTAGAGGATTCTAAGAACTGAATTTGCATAGGCTGTATCAGACCATTATCTCATCATCACAGACTAGACTTGACTCTCTAGAGACCCAATCATTTTTTTTTTCCTTTAAGCACCTGCTAGCTGTCTTCTAACTAGAGGTCCTGGGAATTCAACAATCATACACTCTACCAGGGTACTATAGCTAAGAACAGATGCATTTAGCTGCCTAACACCTATGCAATAGATCAAAGAAAAGAGGGCTACAAGAAAAGAACAGAATAGCAGTCCTATATTCAGCCATCAAGTGGCTCTTGTCACTAGAAACTAGACTTTAATACACATGTCCTTGCAGCCTTCAGTTTTAGACTTTTAGAATTAATACATAATTGAGATATAGCCAAATTAGTTTCCCATGTAAATCCAAGGTTAAAAAAAAAATTCTAAATTAAACTTAAAAAGATATGCCCCAAATATACTTCAATTGTTCCTATTCCTAAAGTCATTATCCCCCTTCAACTTCATATCAGCCATCCCATTAAAACAGATCACAGTACTATAATTAGATCACAGCTGTACAAAAATGCTGTTGAACAGTTGTACACTAAGCCAGACTCTTTGTTTGAAAGAATGTTGTGATTATTTTAAACTCTAGCTCACAACAAACTCAGCACTTTCACCTACTATATATTCTTTACAACTAGTGCCAAAATGCCAAAACCACCTCTTTCTCAAACAGCAAGTTAATTTATGCCAGCAAAGACCCCCAACTATGTTTTGCTCTATGAAAACTCATCTGGCTCAGAACGTGGGATTTCCCCCAATCCAGCATTCAACTGGAAAGTTTTCTTGTTCTGCCCCTTTCTTTGAAAAAAGTTTTTTTGTTGTACTAGCTTAGAAAAAAAAAATCCTTCAAAGTTAAGCATCACTTAATATGCATCCAAATTCAATAGCACAAATGTATGTGTTTTCAATTCCTCGCAAAAGACAGAATGGACAGTAACAAACCATTGAGAAGAAAAACAAAGGAAATTTAATTAAATATATGTTACTACAAATCTATCCCTGAGCTATAGTGGAAAAGAAAATGAAGTTAGTTTTGGATCAGATCTGACATTTCTCAATTCTTCTAATCAGGGTTCACATGTTCAAAGGTATGAGTTTTCATACAGTGATCCTACTGCATTCTTGCAATGCTGGTTTTTCTCTTAACCTCATTAATAATCAACTGATATACAAAAATCCTGCTTCTGTCTATACTGAGTATAAAGAATATAGACATCAGATCCTCCCATATGAACCTAAGGGCCAATCACATGAAAACACAATATACAATGTTTAAATATTTTTCCAATCTGGAGTGTTTTCATATATACATTAGATATATGTTTAAGTCATCTCAATGCAGAATAATGTTCATGCTACACTCAACACACTCAGCAGACAACTAGATCTTCCAACAGAATGCTCGTTATCTGTTACACAAGCTGCAAAGCCACAACTGTCTAGAGTTATATTTTGTTTATATGTTTATAACAATCAAGACAATGCATAGCTCTACCCTATTTCCAGCTTTCAGACAGGATGTTGCTTATATAATCAAAATGGCACCATCCATGCCTAAGGATGAAGGTAGCAAGCTGTGAGTTGTTGAATGCTGATACTCCAAGAAATACCATATAAAAAAGAATCTTTTAGCTAGACAACATTACGTTGCAGGGCACAGTCAAAACAGTGTAATGAGGACTAGGTAAGATTAGGAGTCAAAGGATGCTAACTTTGGGGAGGTATGGCAGAAGATCAAATTGGAATGAAATGCCGAGGGAGGCTCACTAAACCTGACAGTGAAGCACTTCCGGGAGCAACATTTTGTTCCAAATTCCCAGTACAATATGATACTGTGCAACTATTTCCTCTGGAGAAAAATACAGTGGCAAATCTGTAATGCTCTGAGAGTATGAGTTACCTAACCAATCTACATTGCACAACAGTGCAGATACTCCTATAATTGTGACTTTGTGCTCACATAATGTTAGGAGCCAAGTTGCTGCTGAATTACTTTACATGAATCAAACCCTTGTTTAACAAAAACATTCTATTGTGGGACTGTTCAACAGTGACATATTTTAGCTATAAATAATTCACTCTAGCCTTTACCCAGGAATATATTTTACCCAATTGAGCAAGCTGATCTAAGTTCA